GGTTAGATGAAGGTCCTGGACTCTCTCCAGGAACCTACGTTCTAATTATAATTACGTTCTAGTTATAATTATGCATTTGAATTTGCAAGGCAATTTAATCCAAAGGCAGTGACTAATGGCGCTGACCTGAGCCAGGCATAGTTCTGTTACATGAGCATTATGAGGACAGGCTACGTGATCAAGCACAATGCACCTCAAAGCTTTCACCAATTTACTCATCATCAATTATTCAAAACATTGCTCTACATAATTCAGTACTGAAGCAGGTTCTACCTCTATACTGTTAGTTTTAAAAAATGATTTAGTGACAGTGACAACCCTGATTTCAGAAACAGAAACATATCTTTAAATAAAAAAAAAAATAATCACAAGATAAGGTAATTCTTGACCACTACCTGGAGGATTTGTTTGTACTAGGAAAATTATTCCAAGCTGTAGTTAGAAATATCACCTGAAAACAACTTTCAAGTAAATATAGATATATCCTCAGGGTTAATTTTTAACTATAAATGTAAATAAATGCACCATTAAATTATTAAGAGCAGTAAGTTATGGAATCAAGAGCTTCACCACTGGAAACAAACTGGATTTCCCCCCACATCTACTCTGACTATCCAATGACTTTCCCCTCTCTACTGGTAAGCAGAGCTTTAAAAGAACATGAAGATTTAAGTTCCAACTGGAATCAACACCAGCATTTCTTTTTTTCTTGAAGTTTATTTTTTTGGTTTAGAAACTTCAAGATTTCAGGTCTTCTACATCTCATGTAACTAACTGTGGACTCTATGCATCTACAGAAATGTAAAATAATTTGGGAACAGTAGATAATTTCACGGTACAGATCAGCTTGGTTAAGTATATCAATAAAGCAGCAGGAAGGACAGACAGAAGGAAGGGGTTTTTTTGTAGGCACAAGCTATTAGCGAATCAAAGAAAAAAATCCTCTCTCAACTTCTTTATACCTTTGCTGCTTCTCTTTGGAGTTTTCTTGACCGTTATGTCTGAAACGACTGGAATCTCTTCAGGATTTCCCCCTTCCTCCTCAATGGCCTATTGGGAGAAAAAGTGAGTGTGAGAGAGATAAAACCAGTGTTTGTTTAGAGAGTGTTATAAGCTGAGTGCACTGGGCAGGGAAAAAAACCACCGTGGCAAAACCCAACAGCCTTTGGTTTAAAACCATGCCAACACGGCTTGGATGTATGATGTCAAAAGCAAGTTGCACAAGTGCTCCAACATTACAGATTCATAGATTCAGACTGTAGAGTCGGAAGGGACCACAAAGGATCACTGTGTCCAACGCCCTGCCCCTAGAAGCACAAAATCCTCTGAGTTGCTTCTGGAATGCAATCAGCGCCCAGCCGCTCATATAAGAACATAAGAATTGCCATGTACTGGGTCAGACCAAAGGTTCATCTTGCCCAGTCTCCGGTCATAGATTTCATAGATTATGGGGCTGGAAGGGACCTCGCAAGATCATCATGTCCAGCCACCCCGCACTAGGCAGGGAAAACAATGAGTTCAGTCTCCTGTCCCGGGACCTCCTGATCCAGTGTTTCTCTACTAGTGGGACGTGAAGGGCATGTAGGCGGGACTTTTCCAAAGTAAGTGGCATTCCTGAGAAAGGTAGGGGGCCCAAAATGCACGTGAATGTAAAAATACGCTTCTTGGAAAAAAAGTGGAGTTTTGTTTTTATTGTGGCGGGACATAAGGTGCAAAAGGTTGAGAACCACTGCCCTCGTCAACCTCCT